GACGGGAGGCGCATGGGTGGGGATGGGGCTGGGGAGGGAAGATGGAGGGGAGCGAGACGGGAGGCGCATGGGTGGGGATGGGGCTGGTGGAGGGGAGCGAAGGGAAGATGGCAGGGAGCGAGACGGGAGGCGCACGTGTGGGGACGTAGGCCGCTCCGGGTCAGTGCGCAAGTAGAACGAAGCATGGGTGGGGGGGGTAGTGCTGGTCCATGCTTCGCGGACGTGTGTTGGGTGGTGAGTGGAGCTGTGCTGCGGGGCTGATACGATGGGGTTGGGTGTCCAAAATGTGCACAGTACATGCGCCAGACAGTCAAGGCATGGCCGACACGGGAGGAGCGTTATGTGCCACAAGCGCAACGTGGGAAATGGAACGAACCTTGGAGGGGGCCGATACTGCTCCAGGCTTCCTGGAACGGTTGTCAGAAGCCACGTTGCAATGTTATTGGAGACTAGCTGCAGATTGAAAACAACCAGTTGATATATATTTAAAAAAAAAATATATATATATATATACACCTAGAATCCGTTTGACACCTTTTTTGACAGGAAAAGGCCATATTTGAGATAGTTGATCCTCCAAAACAGGGGTCACTCAGGTTCCAGGTATATGATACATCCAAAAGCCAACCCGACGAAAGACGGAACTGCCACGCACCGAACGCCGCACGTGGCCCAAACTGGGGATCCGTCGGAGACCGTGCGGCGCAGAGTCGGACGGAGCAGTACGCCAGAGGGGCTGGGGAGGGAAGATGGAGGGGAGCGAGACGGGAGGCGACGGGGCTGGGGATGGAAGATGGAGGTGCGTGGGTGGAGGGGAGCGCGACGGAAGGCGCGTGGATGGGACGGGAGGCGCGTGGGGTCGGGGCTGGGGAGGGAAGACGGAGGGGAGCGAGACGGGGGGCGCATGAAGATGGACGGGGCTGGGGAGGGAAGATGGAGGGGAGTGAGACGGCGTGGCTTGGGTGTGGGGAGTGCATGGGTGTGGACGCTTGCGCGGCTGATATGGTAGTTACGAGGACATGGTTGCGCCACAAGCATCATTGCAGGCTGCTCCGGGTCAGTGCACAAGTAGAACGAAGTATGGGTGGGGGTAGTGCTGCTCCATGCTTCGCGGAAGCATGTTGGGAGGTGAGTGGAGCTGCGGGGCTTATACGATGGTCTTGGGTGTCCAAAAAGTGCGCAATGCACGCGACAGACGGTCAAGTCGTGGCTGAAACGGCAGGATTGTTGCGTCGAGCACATGGTTGCACCACCAGCATCATTGCAGGCTGCTCCGGGTCAGTGCGCAAGTAGAACGAAGCATGGGTGGGGGTAGTGCTGCTCCATGCTTCGCGGAAGCCCGTTGGGAGGTGAGTGGAGCTGTGTTGCACCAGAACCGCGATGCTTGAAATATCATAGTTGCCACGAAGCCTGGAGGGGGCTGATGCTTCGTTTTGGCCTGCTAATTTGTGTTTGTTTATTTTTCCTGGGTTGTGCGCTTCTTTTTGCTTTTGGGTCTGCGGGCTCACCTTGTTTCCATTCTACAGACACGTGTCACGCTTGCACCTCTTCGCCTCTATGGAATGCGTGTCAGCAATCCTAGTGGTATAAAATGACTAAGTGAACAAGTACCCGATTCCAAGTATTTACTGTACAAAATGATTGCAAACAGCTGGACGGAGAATGATTGTAAAGGCCTCTACCACAATCACAATCATTAGAACTTGGTCCAATCATTGCATAAATAGGCAACAAGTACGTATCTTCAAATGTTTGTTCAGACCCTCTATTGAAATACAACAACACAACAAATACTACTTTTTAGCGACCCAGGATCCAATGACTTTTGAGCACCTCAGGCTTCATGTGTTAAACGCTCGTTTTTGATTGTATTAAAAAACAACTGTTGATGTTCATATTATAGACACCTGTTCTATCATATTCTATCCTATTCTTATCTATTCTTTATATTCATGGAAAACCCGCCAGGTTCTCTTGTTTCTGTTTGCTTCGATTTGGGCGGTCTTTTTTTGGCATCTTTTTCACTTTTTTGGATGCCATGCTTTACTATTTTGGATGCTTTTGAATTTTCTACGTTTTTTTTACAGATAGCGAGGCTATGGGGTTCTTACTTCAAATAACAATGTGTTGCCTGCGCGCGCTTTTTCGAGAAAGGTTGCTGGTGCTGGGTGCCGGTGCTGGTGCTGGTGCTGTGAGCTGGCTGTGCACGTGGTGGAGGCAGGTTGCTGGCGCCGGGCGCCGGTGCTGGGTGTCGGGCGCCGGTGCTGGTGCTGTGAGTTGGCTGTGGACGTGGTGGAGACAGGGTGCCGGGTGCTGGTACGGGCTGTGGTGCTGGTGCTGGGTGCTGTGAGCTGGCTGCGTGCGTGGTGGAGACAGGGCGCCGGTGCTGGGCGCTGGCAGTGCGCGTGGTGGAGGCAGCTGGGCGCCGTGAGCAGCGCGCGTGGTGGAGACTGGGCGCCGCTCCTGGGTGCCGGGCCGTGCACGTGCTGGGGACAGGGTGCCGGGTGCTGGTGCTGGGTGCTGGGTACCGGTGCTGGGTGCAACAGCTGTGTCAAGGGCTGTACTGTTTGTGCGGATTCTTTTGCGCGTCGCAACGTCAGGCTCTCAACCGACCATTGTTTCAGCGTGTTTCAGCATGCTACACACACAATAGTCGCGCTGGATACTGCTTGGCCTTGGGCGAGTGAAGCCCACGGGCTTGCCGGTTGCACGCATACTTTTGTGCGCATAAACTTATACGCGCAAGATCATATGGCCTTATCGTTCTACAGATCGTTGCTTCAAGCATGCTACAAAGTCAATAGTGGCGCTGGATACTGCTTGGCCTTGGGCCACTGACGCTTACGGGCTTTGCTGTTTGCGCGCATACTTTTGTGCGCGCAATCTTATACGCGCAAGATCATACGTTGTTATTCCCCAAATAGGGATAGCTATGCGGTTCTTACTGCAAATCAGAATGAGCTGGCTGCGCGCGCTTTCGGAAGGGTGTCGGTGCTGGTGCCGGTGTTGTGGTCCTGGGTGTTGCCCTGTGAGCTGGCTAAGCGCGCGTTGTCAGCTGGCAGAGCGCACCGGCGCTGGTGTCAGCTGGTTGTGCGCGCTGTGGAGGCGCCGTATGCAGGCTGTGCAGGCTGCGTACATTCTTGTTCCAGCCAGTCGCATGTCAACAGGTCGTGGGACTCTGCCCAGCTATCTGGGTCTATGCTGGTGCAATTTTTCCTAACTTTTGGTATTTTGATCACACCCAGTGGAAACTTGACTTCCCCAACGCAAGTCTACTTTCCAGGACGCTGGGCTCGCTTGGAACAATGGCTCTTCCTTGAACCAGGCAGCGCAGAATGATACATATATATATATATATATTCATAAGATATACATACAAACAATCGCGCGCGCCCATGTACATGTCTTGTAAAGATCCTATGCACTATGTAGCCCTTGCGAAAATCGAGACAAGGCGCTTTCGTCTACGCGTGTGGATTAGAAAGTCCACCCAGCATAAGTTGGTTGCTGGTTTGCGTGGCATTGTGTGAAGCCAATATCCCAGTTGAAGTGACCCCTCCATCTGAAGACCAACGTGAAGGACAGGAACTGGTGCTACATGGTGGAAGCCCTGAAGTATATACATTCTTTTTGGTCCGAGAAGGCGAAGGAGGAAGCGATGCTCAGGGCTTTGAGACCAGCTTCACTGCCGTTGCCAGGGTCCTTCCAGGATGGAATGTGGGTGGCTTGACCTCATCTTGACACCAGGTTCACTTCGAGAAGGTCAAGGAGATCGAGATGTGGCATCCACGGTGAGGTTGCTGATAGAGGAGAACACCAGACTTCAACGCGAGAGGGGCTATGAGAGAAGGGTGTTCACGCAAGGTGGACGCCAAAGACAACTTCAAGCACCGATGGGACACTGAGTTGTGATGGGAGGCAAGTACGGGCCTATTCACTGTGGAGAAGGACAACAGGCGCTGGGGAGGATGTGGATGGATGCTTCCCAGCACATAGGGGCTCCTGTGCAACGGGAAGGGCAACCACAGACAATGCCTTTTAAGCGGAATGGTCGTGGAGTCCGCAGGAACTTGATGGGCGTGTTGGAGAATGTTGAACAGGCTTTTTCGCAGCCTGTCATTCCAGGTGGACAACTAACACTGCAGCTTCGTGCCCAGAGTCTTCAACGTCCAGCGAAAGAGATGAAGCAGCTCATGAGCAGGAACCAAGGCATGTTCGTGCGCCTTTGTTCCTGACATCTTGGTCGGGTTCGTCCTGGTGAACAGCAAAGTCATGGATCTGGCGTTGAAGGACAAGTTCAAAAGGATCATCAAGAGAGACACGAAAGAAGAGGTTCAAAACAAGCTGATGGTTTTGAAGAAAATGGCAAACCTCAAGCTGGTGTCTGCTTGGGGAAAGCCTGTGCTGGCGCAGTGGAGCTGTTGGAGGAAACGACATGACTGCTCGTGGGGCCAGTGCAGTGGTCTCCTGGTCTCTCGGTGGTAACTACACGCTGGCAAGAACCCAGTTTGGGCACTTCAACTTGGAAGGTCAGCTCTACCATGGACTTGGGTTTGGTCTATGGGAAGGTGAACTCGCCCTGATGATCTGACGAAAAGACGAAAAAGGCAAGGTCTGAAAAGGGAGGCCCCGTCACTGACCAGTCTCCTCATTATGTATGGTGGCTGTCCGAGCCAATTGGAGTCGAAACATCCAGGGCTGGCTTCATTTTTTGTCGGCTGTCAAGGCGGGGCTATGTGGGGCTTGTCTCCTTGGTTGGGGGTCTTCGTGGTGGTCGAGCAGTTCAATCTTTGTTTCGTTTTACCTATGGTTTAGTTTGAACTTGATAGCGACAACCGCGCTGCTCTTATATTGGCCAAGGGCCAAGGGGTTGGCGCACAAGACACCTCCGCGTCCGGGCGAACTGCTTGGCTGAGCCGGTGGAGAATGAAGAGGTTGAACTATAGTCTTCAGGCAGATGCTCTCACGAAACTTTTGCCAGGTCCTGCTTTTGAACGTTTTCGGAAAGATGTCCATCTGGAGAATTGGTAATTGGGAGTTCAAGGTGATCAAAAAGGTGAGGAGCCACGGAGGTGAGCGACCGGGTGATCAGGTGCTTGACTGCCATCCTCGCAGGATTTTCCCTTTGAAAGAGAATGCTTTTTGTTTTTGATGTCAGCAGCTTGATTTAGGAAGGCCTATCTCTATCTGGAGTTGGAGGCCTGGAACCTTTTGGAACAGAAACCCGACTTTCTTGAGCTATGTGGAAGAGAAGATGACAAGCTGAAGGGGCTTGGGCTGGAGGGTAGCGCGCGAATACCACTGAAGAGAAGTGGCAGGGGAGCGAGTGCGCCCATGTACACGTCTTGTAAAGGCCCCATGCACTACTGTATATAACATTATATAACCATATCGAAAATCGAGAAAAAACGCTTTCGCCTACATGCGACCATATATGTATATATACATGGAAAAATGTGTTTCAAAGCCGTTGATTCCAATTTGACGTCCACTTGGAGCCCTCAGTATGAGATGTTCTGTCTGGCTTGGCCTTGCAGGAAACTCACCCACTTCAACCTGATGTACTGCCAAGAAAGCCGCGACCGAGCAGTGCTGAAAGAGAGGAGGCGCACCAACTGATGACAGAACTTTGTCGTCGAGGTTGTTAGGATACGCACACTTCGCATGTTGAGATTTGTTTGTTTTGGCTAAGCTTTGGATTCCAGGCCTACTTGCAAGAAGGCAGTTGGTATGCGAGCAGCCGTGGTAATACCGAGCAGCTTCGCTCCCAGGCCAGCGTGATTGAGACCTGGTTAAAAAGTTGTAGAGTAATTCAGAATAATGCAAGTAATTACGGAACCGCCCTTCACGTTTGTTACCGGAGGAGGTCAGAACCTTTTAGGGCCCTTCTGCCATTTGGAACAGTGGCCATGGCTCTTCTGCAAACCAGACTGCAGCGAAAGACACTTAAAATTATTGACAGAAAGATCCTTTAAAGTTCACAATTGTTGGTTTTAGTTACTTTTTGGGTTCCAGGCCTATGTGCAAGAAGACAATGGGTATCTGAACGGCCGTGGCCATACCGAACAGCTTCAGTCCCAGGCCAGCATGATTG